CCTTAGGTGTTTCATATTCATGATCCTTGATCCTTAAAACAGCCCAACCAGAAGGCATTAATATTTCTATTATGTGGATGAAAAAAGTCTGTGACAAAGAGGGAAGTGACTTACCTAAGATCCCATGGTAAAATAAGCGATGGAACCGATTCCAGCACATGCCCACTTGACCCCAAGATTAATGTTTCTTGCACCAAGTACAAATAGAATAGACAGGTTGAGAATGGTATCAGAGACTAAGAATCTCATCTAATGAGGGTAGATTTGGGGATTAAGATATGTAGTGATGATAGAAGTCCATTAGTTTTTTGGTTTTTTTTTTTTATCCACTAAAGCCTTGAGAGGAGGTTCTACTCATTGCTTCTGGTGTTTACATAAATCAAGTTCACAATAATCAAAGGTGTTTGGGTGTTTTGCCTGTTCATCTCTACTGTAATGTAGATGGTTTAAATTTTCCTTGTTTTTTTTTTTTTAAAAAAGCTCTAATTCAGTGTTTAATCTTAAAGAATTTCCATCTAAAGTTTTCCAGTATGCTTCAGTCATCTAAACAAGAGAAAATGGACTTCTTATCAATACGATTCTAAAATATCTTTTTTCCATTTTCCCAAATAGGAGTTGAGTTCCCAGTATTTGAATACTGTTTTTTACTTATTTAATAGTGCACATGTACCTCTTGACAGATCAAAGATTATTTTTCTTTTTGGCTATATAACATGGTCCTTCTGTTTATCACCTATGCCCAGAAAAGCCCATAAATATAGCTCTCTGAACACATAGAGACCTTGCTGGTTATTTGAGCCAAATATGACATGAGTTTTTGTGGCAAAGCCAAGGTGCATGGGGTGGATAGCATGGTTACACAGTGGTGGGAAAAGATGTCTGACCTCCATATATTTCCATTTTATTCCATTGAATTGATGTGATGTGGGGCCAATTTATATATTTTGGCATAGTTGCTTATGAAGGCTTGCCTCATGTTTTGAATAGTATGTTTTGAATGGTGTCTACAAGGAGTCACATTGACTGAAATGAAAAGGTAAAATGTAATAAATAATAGATACCCTTTTTCAAATCCCTATTACATGCTTGGCACCTTTCTAAATGCTTTGTATACCTACTGTAGCATGGCCTTTTCCCTGTTTTGCAGATAAATATACCGAGTCTCAGAGAGGTAAATTAGTTTTGCTTTATGTCATATAGCTGATATAGTGGATGCTAGTAATAAACTCACTCAGGTTTGACTGACTTCAAGACCCTTGCTTGCTCTTTATTATTCTGTATTGTCTGTTACAGTGATACTGTAAGGATAACTATAGAATTAGTTGCCATATGTTGATGAAGAACTTTTTGACACTAAATTAGAACCATTGCGGAATGTTTTCCTTATCCTGGCCACAACTACTTGTCTGCCACTGCTGTCTTAATATTCTTCATAACTTCTTCATTTCAGACCAAGAAATGAAAGTACATCTGATATGGCTTTCTTTTCTTTGCCATTGATTTCACATACATTTGTAAACATCTGTCAAGTATCTCATTAACTAGCTATTTTATTATGCTTGTCATTGTATTTTTTTCTTAGATTTTTTTTTCATGTTCATCTGAATATGTAGTTGAAGGCAGGTGTGCATGAACATGGTTTGTATCACTGTCCAGTAGGACTTTCTACACTGATATAGAAGTATTATCTGGGCTGTTCAATATGGTAGGCACTAGTCACATAAGCCTGTTGAGAGCTTGAAATGTGGCTAGTATAAAATGAAGAACACAAATTTCTATTTAATTTGGTTAGTTTAAACCTAAACAGCCACATGTGACTACTGGCCACTGAATTGGATAGCACAGTTTGAGACAGTAAGTGATGTTGTGTTTGATGAGTGGTGATAGAATGAGGAAATTCAGTTGTTGGTAGTTTAAAGGTTGCTGATTTGTATGCTAGCAACATTAAATATGGTATATGTTCAACTTAAAGTGTTATTTAAAAAAATATATATATATATATATATATTTTTTTAGTTTTAGGTGGACACAATATCTTTATTTTACATTTATGTGGTGCTGAGGATCGAATCCAGTGCCCTGAGCATGCTAGGCCAGAGCTCTACCACTGAGCCACAACCCCAGCCTGAAAGTGTTATTATCATGGGATGAGATAGAGTAGAACAGTTCACATTTCCAAAGTACTTTTTGGTTTTTTTCATGATCTCATCTGATCAATCTTTCAGATATGATATCTTGGTTTTGCTAGTGCATCACAGAGGAACAAAATTAATTACAGCTTCCTTGTCCAGGGTCTCCTTTTCTTTGAAATGGGACACCAGTTTGGCCTTTTGTGGTCAGGTTGTAGCATGAGGGCCTGGACAGAGCCCAGCCCATGTATTTTTTCCCTCTCATCATTGATTGAGATTGGAGAATTCTGTCTTCTACCTCACTTAGAATATACATTTAGTTTATTTTTTAGGTCTGAAGAAAGTGAAGTAGAGGTAATTTTTAAATTAGCCAGGGAGCTACAGTAATTTGATAACTAACAGAAGAAAATATAGTTTTCCTTTCTAACATTCCAAATAAAGTGCTTGGGGACTTGATTTTTAATTTTTATTTTGGCAAATACAACCTAGAACTCAGGAGTTTTATACATAAAACTGTTTTTAAAATTGTTGTATATTTTTTAAAGAAGCCTTTGATGAAATTAAATAATAAATTTTATTTGCTATCTTGGAGGAAAAATTAGTGCCCCTAAGAGTTTTGATATATTTGATTATATTTTGATTATCTGGTCTTGTGAAATAATGTTTAAAAGCTACTTTGTGTTACTTATACTAAGTATATTTTCCCCTGACATTTATATAATGTTCCTGTCTTTTTTACCAGAGCATACAACCAATCAACTCTGGATGCTTTTGATATTTCTGACTGTGCTGGGCATTGAATGAAATTCCCTGGAGTGAGAAAAGAGAGCACATGGAACTCGTGACTTTATGTACTCCACAATAGAGCTTTTATGACACTGGAGGTGGTTTAAAAAGCTAGAAGTAGCTCTTAAACATGGCATCTCTGTGTTGCCTTTTTTTTTTTTTTTTGTATTCTCAGAGCTGCCAGGAGTGCATGGAGCCTGTAATTTCCTGTTCCCTGAATCCCCCATCTTTCTGCAGCTCCAAGCTTTGTGTCCCACAGCCTGTGACTCTGTGCTAACAAATCGCTATTGTCCAGTGGGGCGAATGGTGGCTGGAACTAAAGAATTGCTGTCTGGTTTCTATTCAAATCCAGGTAGTGAGATATATGAATGGACTTTTCGAATCGTCCTGTGAATAACGTCTGCTCGGCATGAAGGCTCAGAGCCACGCTAGGAAAGATTAACTCCTAGGCTGACCACTAACATCCTTTGTGGTAGACGGTAGAAACATTCCAGAATATCATTTTATGTACACTAATGTTCCATTTCATACTCTCAGAAGTAGGGTTAGCCATTTAATTATTTGGCTACTTTTCTGTTAAGTTTTAGTGTATCTGTTGAGAATATGGAAGTTTGGGGAAATCCTAAGTTGTTTTCCCCTAGAACATTTATTTTCTCTCAGAAGTTTTTAACCTTCCATTTATTGTAACATTAAGTTATCTTTATGGCATACAAGCAAAAAGTAAGAGAGAGCTTCTTTCTTCAAGAAACCAGTTCTTCAAAATACTTTCCAACCAATGAAAGGATAAATCCTCCTTTTTTCTTTTTTTTTTTTAAAGTGCACTCTACTACTTTGAATTTTTTCTCCCCAAATTCAAATTTTTATAGAAACTAGAGAAAACTTCAAATGGAGTATTTTCACCATACAAATCTCTTTCAAATTAAGGAGCAAACCTAAAAATTATAACAGAATCAAGATTTTTTTTTAAAGCAAGTTTGGATCTTGACTATAATCCAGAGTTCTCATTTTTCCATGGAAAATTATTTTATCTTTCTTCTGTATACCTGAAAAAAAATCTCCACAGACTTGAATAGCTGTGTTTTTACACTCCTTCCATATCATAGGTACTATGAAATGGAGAGCCTTTTATGTTTCTTTTTGTCTTAAACTCAGACAGCTTTGTAAGCAGTAGTGTGTAGATTACAAGAGTTAGACAAAAGCAGGCGCGACTGAGAAGAGTTGGTTGTGGGGGGAGGCTTGGGGGCACTTCCTGTCACTCAACACATTCCAGATCACTAAAAAATTTCCACACCCTCTACATTCCCTCTAGCCCACCCCAGTTCTCAGCATTTTCTGATTCCATACATTGTGGTATTTATCATAACTTCTTTCTCTCACTGGGCTCTGGCAAGACTGCTTCAGAGGAGATAACATTCCTTTAGATTGTACAAAAGCATAGCTGGGAAAATGGCTGGCAGTTTCAGAATCTAGTCACGATCGCACGCATGAGCACCTCACGCATCCATGCCCCTTCCCCCCTCCCGCCCCTGCAGCTGGCTGACCTGTCTCACCCACTGCTGGCCTATCGAACGGCCAGGACTGTCTGGTTTTGGCTCATGCCTTTGTCCATGTCTGGCTTAGTTCCTCTCTGTCTATGCTTTCCTCTACCCCCACCGCCCCAGGCGGCACAAGTGTTTGGCCACACAAAACTACAGATAGAAAAGGTGGTAATAACTTCAAACTTTGCTAGATTCTCTAGCAGTTTATTCTTTTGTGAATTTCTTCCTTCTTTAATTAACTCTGCTTTAAGAAAACAACTACAAAATTAATTATCTAAAGGCAAAGAATGCAAAGCAACCTTTGTGTTCTTTATAATAACTGACTTCATAACTCTTCTCCAGCTGCGTTATGGGGTGTGTATAAAAGCTTCTGTTCTGAGAACAAAGGAGCACGTGCAGAAATGAGACTAAAAAATTCACTGACAGTATTTCACTACACAAATTACTTAAATGATTTTAGTCAAGCCTCTCAACAGATTCAATTTTAAAATGGTTTTTAGTTAAAAAAACAAAAAACAAAAACAAAAAACAAATTGAAAGTGCTTACCCAGTAAAAGAACCGAAGTAGTCCTGAACTGTTACGTAAGACTTTTTACAGTTGGATCTTTGTCAAAGGGGATGGGGGTGATGGGAGAAAGCAGCAACAACAATCAAAAAAGTTCAAGCTGCTGTGGCTAAAGGACAACTTCTGTGCTTCCAGATAGGATTCTTGCTGTAGAAATGGAACTTCCAACCAGCACAGCATCATGTCCCGGTAGAGAAGTGAGTTTGTCAGTTAAAAAATAAAAATAAAAAATATAGATACTGGAACCCAGGCTAGACAAGGTATTGAACCGCGCCAGATTTCCTTGCAGCCCTGTCTGCTCAGCTCGCATTGAACTATATATGACCCAGATGATGGACAGAAGCACATTCAGTCATGTGCACACTGGAAGAAAGCGGATTTGCTGGTCCCTGGCAGTGCAGGGGTTTGTCTTCTGATTGGGCTGTGCCCTGATCAGTGAAATGTGAAGCTCTCACCATTCAGAGGCCGTAATTCAGGACTGGCAGTTTGAGTGTCTGGCTGCTTCTAGTCACTGGGAGAGACTTTGAAGGTGTTGCTTTTGTTTGGTGGCATTACCCACCCAGCGGTTGCTTACACGTATGTGCTTGTGTCAGGAGAAATGCTCATGTTTCTAAAATGCAAGAAAGCAGCTGATTTTTGCCTGGATCCTAGGTTACCTTATTGTTGGTGAATTGGGCTCTAACTTAAACCAATTATTTGATTTGAGAATTTATTGTGATCCTAACAAGGTTTTATATGCTGACCACCCCTTGGTCCTGATTTTATGGGTTTGATAAGGTAAAAAGAACAGTAGCATTTAACTTTGAAGCTTTTCTAGATGGTATAAATTGCTCTTAATGAAAGTTGGATGGATGAACAGAAGAGAAGTTAAGTTTTGGATTCTGGAATCTTCGAACACATGGAGAAGAAGCTTTTTCTCTTATTATCCCCTTTATGAGACTTTCACTTTTATCCCAGTCCTTAGGCACATTAGGGTATTGCCGGGGGGAGCTATGAGAGCACAGACTTCAGTGAGCTGTGACATAGCTTTTAATCTCTTATGGTCTGCCCTCTTCAGTCTGTAGGAACTAGGGTCCTTGGAGTTTATTTCCCCATCTTTCGGTGCCACTGGAAAACCAGGTCATTATACTGGACTGTCAGTTGTGGCATTGTTAGTTCATGGCAGTTGCTTTGTTTAATGCAAGTTGACCCTTTAAAAAAAAAAAAAAAACTGAAGCAATAAAGTTGTATTAGGAGACCTTGACTCTGATATATGAAATTTACTCTCTATGCACCCATCTTTTTTTCCCATAGACTGACTTTCTCTTAAGGTTATATAGTCCTAAATCAGTACTTAGACATACATATACTTGGGTTTATTTTCTACCTCTGTCACACTTGTTGAAGTAATTCCATGGTCACTGTCTAAGCATTTATTTTGCTGTAAATTCTGGGTTTAAATGTTTGTGTACTTGTAAATTTTTAGGTGTTTACTATGTTGTACAACATCTTTTGTATGAGGATTTTGCTAAAATTATTATCAGTTCTGTGAGAAAAGCTGGGTTGATATGCTGCCAGATGTAAGGACGCACAAAGTCAGAGAAGAGGAAGATGAGCATTCTTCCTTTCTTCTTTACAAAAAAAAATTTCAGTGGGCTGGGGTTGTTGCTTAGAGATAGAACGCTCGCTTAGCATGTGTGAGGCACTGTGTTCAATCCTCAGCATCACATAAAAAAATAAATGAAGATATTGTGACCACCTATAACTAAAAAATTATTATTGTTGTTATTATTATTTTGCAGTGCTGATGATCAAACCCAGGGCCCTGCAAACCCTAGGCAATTGCTCTACCATTGAACTATATCCCAAGCCTTCTTTCATTAAACCATAGATCTTTTCTTTAAAAAAAAATCTTTTAAAATGGTAAAAATATACACAACAATTACTATTTTAACCATTTTTAAGTGTATAGTTCTGTGGCATTAAGTACATTCACATTGTTCTGCAACCAAAATCACCAACAATCAATCTTCTCATCTTGCAAAACTAAAACTCTATACCTATCAACCACTAATTTGCCATTTCTCCCTCCCCTCTACCCCTAGTAATCATTGCTTTCTGTCTCTATGAACTTGACTGTTCTAGGTATGTCATATAAATAGAATCATGCAATATCTGTCTCTGTGACTAGCTTATTTTAGTTAGCACAATGCCTGCATGTTTCATCCATGTTGCAGATAATGAGAATTTCCTTACTTTTAAAGGTTGAATAATACTACCTTATTTGCATATGCCACATTTTCCTCACTCATTTGTGGTTTTTTAAAAAAAATTTTTAAATACTTTTTTAGTTGTATATGGACACAATATCTTTATTTATTTTTATGTGGTGCTGAAGATTGAACCTAGTGCCTCACACATGCCAGGCAGTGCTCTACCACTGAGCAACAACCCCAGCCCTGGTTTTTAAAATTTCTTCTTTTTAGTTATACATGACAGTAGAGTCTATTTTTTTAATTAATATTTTTTAATTAGAAATATATGACAGCAGAATGCATTTTGATTCATTGTACAAATCGAGTATATTTTTTATTCAATCATTTGTTAATGAACAACTTGAATTTCTTCCACCTTTTGTCTATTAAAACAGTCATTTTTAAAATCTTATGAGGGCCTCTGCTCTGACCCATCTCAGGAGCTCTTTCCATTTTATAAGTTAGAAGCGTTTTGATGTGCTTTTTAACTCTAGAGACTAGTCCTTAATAACAGGTTTGCTAATGAAGGGAAGATTCTTTTCATCCTTCTTGCTGTGATGAGACATAGTACATTCTGCACTCCTACTAATTGTGTTATATTTATTGTTTATGGGTTTATATTTCCTATTATAATTACTGTGAGCTGATACAGGGTAAGGACCATGACCAGTTCTTTTCGGGTGCCCAATACTGAGGATTAAACCCAGGGCCTCACATATGCTAGGCAAGTGCTCTTGCCCCTGAGCTACATTTCCGCCCTGACCATTTCCTCTTGAATTGTACCTTGTGCCTCTTGTATAGGCACAGGGACTACAAAGTAGATATCAATAAACATTAGTTGGAAAAAATGTGAATACATGAATAGTAATTTTTATTGAGCTTTTGTAATATGCCAGGCACTGTGCAAATGTATAAACAATATATATGTTTAGCTCATTTAATCTTTAAAATAGCCCATGCGAAGCAAATATTGTTATCTTCACTTAATAGATTATAGATATTGCCAGAGTCCTCACAGCAAAGAGGTGTAATTGGGATCTGAATTCTCTTTTTTTAAATTTGTTCTAATTAGTTATATATGATAGTACAATGTATTTTGACACATCATACATAAATGGAACATCTCATTTGTCTGGTTGTACATGATGTAGACTTACTCAGATCATGTAATCATATATACACATAGGTTATGTCCAATTCATTCTACTATTATTTCTATCCCTATGCCCCTTCCTCTGCCTTCACTCCCCTCTGTCTAGTCCAAAATACGTCTATTCCTTACCCCTTTTTTGTGAATTAGCATCCACATATCAGAGAAGACATTCAGCCATTGGTTCTTTGGGATTGGCTTATTTCACTTAGCATGTTTTCTAGTTACATCCATATACTGGCAAATGTCCTAATATCATTTGTTTTTAAGGCTGAATATACCACAATTTCTTTATCCATTCATCCGTTGGCGGACACCTAGGTTGGTTCCATAGTTTAGCTATTGTGAATTGAGATGCTGTCAACATTATAGTATGCTGATTTTAAGTCCTTTGAGTATAAACCTAGAAGTGTTATGACTGGGTCAAATGGTGGTTCCATTCCAAGTTTTCTGAGGAATCTCCATTCTGCTTTCCATAGTGGTTGCACCAATTTGTGGTCCCATCAGCAAGTATGTGAACTCTTTCTTTTGACCCATGGGCCGACTTCATAGTGAGGATGATCATCAGTGGGTCTGAAAACATGAGATTTAGGCCTAACACTGGTTCCAAACCAAATATTCTTTCATGGGGTGTTAGGAGCAATAACCTTCTAATAGATAGGTTTCATGATGCTCAGAGGAAAGCTTTACCCATTAGCAGCCTGTTAACTTAGACCTCTTATAGAGGTTTAACAACTGCTAAACTCAGTTCACATTCTTATGTAATTCTCTTTCATATATTATTTTGAAAATATAAATTCTGACATCAATAATGTGGCCCTGGAATACATGCATCAATGTTCTTCATTCATTTGTTTGAGTATAATATAAAATATAAACATATAATGAATATAAACACATATGTCTATATGTTTATGTAAGAAAATGGCACTGTTCTTGTTGTCAAGAATAAAATAGAAAAGATTCTTAGGGAACTTTCATTTTAGTGGGAAAACAGAAACAAAAGTTCCAAAGTACTGTGAAATAAACGAAACCACACTCTAAAGGAAGTAAAAATAGGGTAATGGAAATGATGGAGCATGATTAGGGAGTTGGTATGAGGTGGGAGGAGCCTCCTTTACTAAGGAAATGTTAGGTAGGGTTGCCTCTCCAAGGAACTGACTTATGCAAACTGATAGCCAAATGATCACAAGAAGAACCTATCATACAAAGAGCTGGAAGAAGTATGATTTGGGTGGTGAGGACAAAAGAGATGTGACTGCTCTGCAGTAGTTTTGAAGTTGGTATGTCTGAGGAGCAGAAAAGGTGGTGTGGCTAAAAGTGGAACAAATGCAGGTAGGAGAGACTTGGGAAAAGCAGGGCAAGCTCCTATCATGTAGGAGCTTGTCAGCAACTGTAAGAAAATTAGATTTTTTTTCCACAGATGTATTTTTCCTCATATGATAGAACATTATATGGTTTTAAAATTGTTCTGTTGGCTAAAGAAGACCACCTCTCCTAGTTCTTGTCTGTGTTTGGTCCTCATAGAACCACTGGCACCACCTTTATTAACAGGTTTTTCCCAGACTGGGAAGCCAGCTCTGAGTGTCCTGGCAGAATGATACTTCTTTCAGAACAGTATTGGATCTAATACTAGTTTGATTGCTGTTTTCCACATAGAGAGGGCTTATCCAACAAGAGCTTCTTTGAGTGTTTTCACATCACTGTTAATCTGAATAGAGTTTTGCAGCCTGGTTCTCTGTATTCATTTAGGATAAAATTTAGTGTTTAATCAGACCTGAATTTGTCTTGGGCAAATAATATTGATTGACTTCTGTTTATATGAAGTAGTTAAAGGCACACTACTGGGAAGCTGAAATTAAGAAATAGAAACTTTTCTGGTATTTATAGAGAAGATTGCATTCAGCTAACATTAATTGCTAATATTTGGCCTACATTATTTTATTTTTATTTCTCAAAAACTGAAAAATACAAAAAAATACATAGACCTTTTATAGTCCTATTTTAT